GACATGGGCATGGATGAGGATCGGGATGGGGATCAGCACAAGGAATGGGATGGAGATAGGAAGAAGGATGGGGTCAGGAATAGGGATAGGAATAGAGATGGGGATGGGAACAAAGACAGAGCTGGTGAGTGGGATGGGACCGGCACAGGGAATGGGATGGAGACACAATGGGAACAGCAGTGGGGACACAAACAGCTCCTCGGGGCTCCTCCCTGCCCTTCCTCCGCCCCCCACTCAGCCCATTGGGGGGGTCTCAGAACCCCACATTTGTCCCTTCAGCTCCTCCCCAGCACGGCCGCCAGGGGGCGCCAGGGTAACCCCAGCACTGCAGCGCCACCTGGCGGCCGGACAGCGAGGTGGGCGGGGCTTTAAAGGGGGGCGTGGCTTCGAGAATTGGGCGTGGCTTTTCTGGGATTGGGCGTGGTTTAGAGAACAGGGGCGTGGCTTCGCGATGGGGGCGTGGCTTCGAGAATGGAGGCGTGGCTTCGAGAATGGGCGTGGTTTAGAGAATGGCGTGGTTTTCGGGAATGGGGGGCGTGGCTTCCGCGATGTGGGCGTGGCTTCTAGAATGGGCGTGGTTTAGAGAATTTGGCGTTGTTTTCGGGAGTGGGGGCGTGGCTTCCGCGATGTGGGCGTGGCTTCGAGAATGGGCGTGGCTTCGAAGGAGCGGGAGCTCCATATAGAGCAGACTGAGTGGGTGCTGATGGGCACTGGGTTGAGGTTCAGGGGGTTTTAGGGAGGGCTTTATGCTTTGTGCTGCAATATTTTGCCCTGTCCCCATCCTGCCCTGCCCCTCCATCACCACTGCCTTCTTTCTCCCCATCTCCATGCCATAGAAGTGCCACCCCCCATGCAGCTCTGGGGCAATGCTATCAATAGGGTGGTTGGGGGCGGAGGTGAGGCTGAGATTCCCTATTTCCTCACCACTAAGATGCACTTGAGAAGTGGACAGGGCTACTGATGCCACCGCTGCTACTTCCGTCCCTATTGCAAGAGCATGGGGACGGCGAGAGGCACGGAGCTGCTGCTGTGGGGTGAGCATGGGGTGGGGGCCATCGTGCCATTGTCGGATGTGTCCCTGTGCAACTCATCCCAACTA